GGTCTTGGATTCCATGACATCCCTTTCCTGTATGTCTCCTCCTACTTCTCTGATTGCTCTTTCTTTGTCTTTTTTACACCCCATTTCTCTCTTCACTCTCAGCTGATGGCTTCTCCTTATATTTGGTTTTAAAAGAGAAGCATTGAGATGAGAACTTTCTCTTCTTTCCATCACTGCAGCACTAACCCACTTTACCTTATCTCCTGTTAATATGGATGACTTATCATTATTCTTTTTTTTGAGACAGAGTCTCACTTTGTTGCTCAGGTTAGAGTGAGTGCTGTGATGTCAGCCTAGCTCACAGCAACCTCAAACTCCTGGGCTCAAGCGATCCTGCTGCCTCAGCCTCCTGAGTAGCTGGGACTACAGGCATGTGCCACCATGCCCAGCTAATTTTTTCTATATGTATTAGTTGGCCAATTAATTTCTTTCTATTTATAGTAGAGACGGGGTCTCATTCTTGCTCAGGCTGGTTTTGAACTCCTGACCCTGAGCAATCCTCCCGCCTCGGCCTTCCAGATTGCTAGGATTACAGGCGTGAGCCACCGCGCCCGGCCTTATCATTATTCTTATCAAAGTTCGATAGCCACCCCCCCACTCATGCTCTGATCTCCCCCAAGGACCTTGCTGCTGCAATTATCCCTTGTTTTCTATACCATCAATTTCCTTTTTGCTACTGAATTATTTCCATTACCAGCATTATTAAATCAGATATTTAATATTCTTGGTTTAAAAGTTCCCTTTCTTTTTTTGTATTATATATATATATATATATATATATATATATATATACATATATATATACTTTTATTGAATATATCCTTTCAAAACATATTGTTTTGTGTGCATGCATTTTTAGTTCTTATATAATAATTATACATTTTTTGGGTACATGTGATATTTTGATACATAGGTACAATATATAATGATCAAACCAGGATAACTGGGATACCCACCACCTCAAACATTTATCATTTATTCATGTTGAGAACATTCCAAATCTTCTCTTGTAGCTATTTTAAAATATACAATAAATTATAGGTAACTATAGTCACCGGGCTGTGCTATCAGACACTAGAACTTATTCCTTTCTTTTTAAAATAAATTTTATTAATTGGCAAATAAAAACTGTATGTTTATCCCAATTGTCCTTCCAGATAATACTCCATTTTTCTGCATCCCTTTACAACTAATCTCCTAGAAAGACTTATTGTCTTCACTTCTTCACCTCCCATTATTTTATGAAACAATCCATTGGGTTTTTGTCTCTAACATTCCATTGTCAAGGTTGCTAATGACCTTCATATTGCCAAATCAACAGTTAGTTCTCAGAACTGATGTTTCACCAACATTTGACACAGATGACCACTCCCTCTTTCTTGAATCAGTTTCTTCATTTGCACTGTGGGCCACCACTCTCTTTGGGTTTTTCTCCTACCTCCCTGGCCACTTTTTCTCAGCTTATTCTTTTGGTTGCTCTTCACCTGCCCTATCTCTAAATATTGGAGTATCCCACGGCTCAGTCCAAGGACCTCTCTTCTTTGCTGTCTACAATTAACTCATTAGTGATCCCACCTCGTATCAAGACTTTAATTATCAGAGGCTGACTCCAAAATTTATATATTCAACCTTGACCTATTTTCTGAACTCTAGACTCTTCATCTAACTTCTTATTTAACATTACAATGTAGCTGTCCAACAGGCATCTCATTACATGTACAAAGTTAACATTTGCAAAATCAAGATATTTGTTTCCTACTTCTTCCCACCACCCATCAAACTTGCTCCTCCTCTGGTCTATCCCGCCTCGGTAACTGGTACCATCCAGTTATTCAGGCCAAAACCAGTGAACATTTTATTCTCTACTTACCCATTCCCTACGACAACCCTGCCCAACTCACACCTCATCCGTCAGCAAGTCTTCCCAAACAAATCCTAAATCCAACCACTTTTCACCATTCCCATTACTAAAATCGAAATCCAACCCATCACCATCTCTTGCCTGAACTATTCCAATTAGCCTCCTAACAAGTGTTCCTGCTTCCTCTCTGCCCCCCTACAGTCTGCTTACCATACAGCAGCTAGGGTGATCATTTCCAAGTCCAAAACCATTCAAACCACTGTCCTTCTTAGAGCCCTCTAACAATTAGAATACATTTTAACTTCTTACTAAAGCCTACAAGACTCTATGTGATTGTATCCCTGACTACAACTTCATCTCCCTTCATGCTTCTTTTGCTTACTATACTCCAGTTTCAACAGCTTTCTTTCTGACTCTTGAATACATTGTGTATGTCCCCATTTAAGGGCCTTTAAACTTGATATCCTTCTGCTAGAATGCTCTTCTCAGATCTTTATGTGGCTGCCTCTTTCTCATCATTTAATTCTTGGTTCAAATATCTTCAGCGAGGCCTTCCTTAAATTAGCTAAAGTCTCCCCTGCCCCTGCTGCACCAATGACACCCACATTTAGTCATTTTATATGCCCTTACTTTGCCTTATTTTTCTTTATAGCACTTATCACTAACTGATATTACATAATATGTTTGCTTATTTGTGATTATTGTCTACTTCTCCCATCTCCACTCGGATACCATCTCCATGAGGGAAAGGACTATTTTGTTCACTACTATCTCTTGAGTTCCCACAACAGTACCTGGCACAGGGTGTGGCCCTACTAGATATTTGTCATATGAATGAATGAATGGTTCTTTTCCCTGTGTTTAGCTCATAAAAAATGTCCCCCAGGATATGGCCCCTAATGCACTTTTCTTACTCTTTATAATACTGTTTATGGAAGATCCCATCCATTCCAATGGCTTCGATTACTATCTATCCAAATAACTCTCAGCCTAATTACTGAGTCCTTATTTTTTTCTTGTACACAAGAACAATAGTTACTACTGCCTATTGGGAATTTCTACTTGGATCTCTTACAGATGCTTTAAACTCCACATTTCTAAAACTATATCATTATTTTCCTTCCTTCTGATATAATGTATATAAAGTACCTGATCAAATGCTCAGTACTCAGTAGGTACCCAATAAATGCTATTTCCTATAACTAGCATCTGTAACTTATAACTCTATCCAGTCTCTTTAATAAGAAACCTTGGACTCCTCTTTGACTCATATCTCTTTTCTTTACTGAATCCACCACTTCAACTTTCAAGTATTTGGATGCCTGAAAGTCCAACATCCCTGGTATTCTTGGCCTCTAGTACTGACTGTAATGAACCTCCTTGCCCTCATGTGACACACATTCATTCAACTCAATTAGCTATTCAATGATTATAGAGCATGTAACCCTGGTAAGCACTACAATGGCTATACTAGAGATACAAGGATGAACAGCACATGGGCACTGCCCAAAATTTATATGTGGAAACAGACAAGTAAACAAGCTGTTGCAATTCTAGATAGAGGAAATCATAGGATGTTGTTTATGAGATAAGGCTTAATACAGTCCGTGAATGAAATATCTAAGGAAAGCTTCTTGAAAGTGGTAAACCTCAGGTCAAGTCTTGAGTGTTTAGTAAGAGTTAGCTAAGCAAAGAAGAGGAGGAGGCAGTTGTCATTCTGGGAAGAAGGAGCAGAATGAGAAAAGGCAAAGAGATATGAAAGGATATGTTATAACTGGGGAAGTATAAGCAATTGAATGTGGCCATAACATAAAGTGCAAGCTTGTGTGGAGATGGTGGACATAAACGGCAGTTATATTTTAGGGGTCCTGTTCAACAATGTTAAGGAGTTTGGATTTTATCCTGAACACAGTAAGGATCCTTGAAGGGTTTTGGTGAGTAAGGGTTTCATGACCAGATTTACATATTAAAAGATGACTCTGCTTTCAATGTGCAGAATAAATTCAGGAGGTAGGCAGCATGGCAAGACTAGAGGTAGATAATCTAGTTGAGAGACTGTTGCAGCAAACAAGCAAGAGAGGAGAAATTTGAGACATTTTCACCAGGCAAAAAATGGCCTAGACTTGATCAATTAAATATATAAATGAGGACTTGAGAAAACTCGGTTCACTGTGAACTATTCACTTTGATAGAATTACACTGGAGGAGAAGCAGATTTTATCAGGGTTCAGAGGTGGAAGTTAATGGGTTTAAAGTATACAGGTGGAGTTTCGGAGATACCTGTAGGGGCCTACAAATGAAGATATACTGAAAGAAGTATGATGTATGGGAGAGCGGTATGGGATGGAGTGAGAGATTTAGAAGTTTGAAATGCTAAATTAAGCCATGGAAGGAATTAAATCACCCAGAATATATAGTGTGATAAGAGTAGAGAAACTTGTGCAGAACTTTAGAGAATATTAATACTTAAGGGGAAAGCGGTGGAAGAGGAACCTTAAAAAGGGAAGAGACAAGAGAGCAATAAAAACTAGGGGAAGAATAGTATTACTGGAGCTAAAGAAGAGGAAAATGTGAGAAGGAAGTAGTGTTCAATAGTGTTAAGTGCTGATGAGAGGTTGCACTGGGTTGAATGGTGTCCCCTCAAAATTCATGTCCACCCAGAACCTTAGAATGCAGCCCTATTTAGAGGTATGGTCATTGCAATTGTAATTAGTTAATATGAGGTCAGACTGCACTAAGGTGGGCCCTAAACCCAATGGCTGGTAACCTTATAAGAACGCCATACAGACACACAGACATGGAGACAGGTAACCACCAAAAGCTAGAAGAGGAAAGGAAGGATTGTTCCCTAGAGCCTTCAGAGGGAGCAGGGCCCTGCCAACACCTTGATTTCAGACTTCTAGTCTCCTGAACTCTGAGAACATTTCTGTTGCTTTAAGACACCCACTTTGTGGTTCTTTATTATGGCAGCCCTAGGACTTCAATACAGAGGTGAAGTATGATAGGAACTGAAAGGAATTCATTGCTTTAAATAATTAATAGGTCACTGGTAACTCTGACTAGAGTTACTTGAGGGATGTGGTAGGGGACAAAGTTAGATTGTTATGAGTTGTACTTGTGAATGGAAGATGAAAGAGTAGAAATAGTTACTGAAGACAAGAGTAACATGGCGGATGCGGAAGTAGTTATTTTGCCAAAGAAGCATAAGAAGAAAAAGGACCGAAAGTCACTACCAGAAGAAGATGTCGCTGAAATACAACATGCTGAAGAATTTCTTATCAAACCTGAATCCAAAGTTGCTCAGTTGGACACATCTCAGTGGCCCCTGTTGCTAAAGAATTTCGATAAGCTGAATGTGAGGACAGCACACTATACACCTCTTCCTTCAGGTTCAAATCCTCTGAAGAGAGAGATTGGGGACTATATCAGGACAGGTTTCATTAATCTTGACAAACCCTCTAACCCCTCTTCCCATGAGGTGGTAGCCTGGATTCGACGAATACTTAGGGTGGAGAAGACAGGACACAGTGGTACTCTGGATCCCAAGGTGACTGGATGTTTAATTGTGTGCATAGAACGAGCCACTCGGTTGGTGAAATCACAACAGAGTGCAGGCAAAGAGTATGTGGGAATTGTCTGGCTGCACAATGCTATTGAAGGGGGTACCCAGCTTTCTAGGGCCCTAGAAACTCTGACTGGTGCCCTGTTCCAGCGACCCCCACTTATTGCTGCAGTAAAGAGGCAGCTTCGAGTGAGAACAATCTACGAGAGCAAAATGATTGAATACGATCCTGAAAGAAGATTAGGAATCTTTTGGGTGAGTTGTGAGGCTGGCACCTACATTCGGACATTGTGTGTGCATCTTGGTTTATTATTGAGAGTTGGTGGTCAGATGCAGGAACTTCGGAGAGTTCGTTCTGGAGTCATGAGTGAGAAGGACCACATGGTGACGATGCATGACGTGCTTGATGCCCAGTGGCTATACGATAACCACAAGGATGAGAGTTACCTGCGGCGGGTTGTTTACCCTTTGGCAAAGCTGTTGACATCTCATAAAAGGCTGGTTATGAAAGACAGTGCAGTGAATGCTATTTGCTATGGGGCCAAGATCATGCTTCCAGGTGTTCTCCGATACGAGGATGGCATTGAGGTCAATCAGGAGATTGTGGTCATCACCACCAAAGGGGAAGCGATCTGCATGGCTATTGCATTAATGACTACGGCAGTGATCTCTACCTGTGACCATGGTATAGTAGCCAAGATCAAAAGAGTGATCATGGAGAGAGATACTTACCCTCGGAAGTGGGGATTGGGTCCAAAGGCAAGTCAGAAGAGGCTGATGATCAAGCAGGGCCTTCTGGACAAGCCTGGCAAACCTACAGACAGCACACCTGACACCTGGAAGCAGGAGTATGTTGATTACAGTGATTCTACCAAGAGAGAAGTGGTTGCTGAAGCAGTAAAAGCTCCAATGGTAGTTGCCGAAATGGTAAAAGTCCCACAGGTAGTTGCTGAAGTAGTAAAAGCCCCAAAGCGGAAGTGAGAAAGTGAGAGTGAAAGCGATGAGACTCCTCCAGCGGCTCCTCAATTGATCAAGAAGGAAAAGAAGAAGAATAAGAAGGACAAGAAGGCCAAAGCTACCCTAGAGAGTGGGGGCGAGCCTGGAGAGGGGGACAGTGACACCATCAAAAAGAAGAAGAAGAAGAAGAAAGCAAAAGGGGTAGAAGTGGTTTCTGAGTAGTGAGGGCCATGTTAAGCATGTGTCCAACTGGGAGGAGAAATTAAAGCCTTATTGAGAAAAAAAAAAAAAAGAAATAGTTACTGAAGACAACTTTTCAAAGTAGTTTAGCTGTGAAAGAAAAAGGAAAGGGCAATCAATACCTAAGGATGACCATAGGTCTGGGAAAGGTTATTTTCAAGATGGGAGAGATCTGAGCTGGTTTGTAGATTAGGTAAGGAACTAGGGCAAAGAGAAGGACAACAGGCTCACAATACACATAAAAGGGAGAGTGGAAATTAAAAGTGCAAGACCCTTAAGGAAGTAGAGGGGAATGAGGTCCAGGACACAGGAAAAAGAATCAGGTAAGTCCAAATAAGGAGATAAACTCTTTTAATATATACCCTTTTGGGTTTCATACAGATAAGGGTAGAAAAAAGTCACTTAGTCCCATCTATACAGGGTCTTGAATTCTGAGATGAAGTATTTTTGGCTTATTTCTGAAAGCAATTAGAACTTTTTTGAGAAAGGGAATGACATAACTCAGGCTAAGCACAATAGAGACCTCATAACTCATGAGGTTTCCCCAAAGTACAATTATTGCTGATTGAAATAAATACAGAGATGTACTTTAGGAAGATTACTTTGGCAGAAGTGCAGAGAATGGGTTGGAGGGCATCCAGAAAAGAGGTAATGTGTCCCTGGCAGTAGCAGGAAGAAGGCAAAGGAGACTGATGAGATGGAAATTAGAAATACTGCAGAGGGAGCTCAGTAAGGACTTGGGGACTATTGAGGCTAGAACAGGGAATTTAAGAGGATTCTATAATTGTGAGGTTGACATAAAGGATGAAAAAGGCACCATAAGACAATAGAGATATCGGGACATTCAGGTGTTGAATGGGGTATAAAGCACACTTTGGCATGGTATTCTAAAGCTCAGGAAGAAGAGGAAGCGAGGGAGAGAGATCTGGAAGTCTCCTATATACAGGAGAGACGTGAAAACCATGGAAGTGGATCAATTCATAAAAGATGAATTGGCGGAGGAAAAGCACAAACTTGCTGTAGGTATACGAAGGAAATATTTCCCTCAAGTGCAGACAGGCTTCTTAGAGACAGAAAATGTGAGACATTCCAGAAACCATGGAAAGCTAGCTTGACTGGTAAGCAGAAGTGGCCAGTTCTAGTCCTACCTCTGTCACTTCCTAGTTGTGTGGCCTTAGGAAAGCCCTTCCTCATTCTAGGCCTTAGTTTTCTCACCTATAAAATGGGCTCATCAAGTAGAGTGGTGACAGAGGCTTCTTTTAGCTCTAACAATACATTTTCCTTTCATTGGAGCTTGACTTGGTATATGGCCAGTCTTTGGTTTACCAGAGAGTTGTCAAAAAGTGTCTAGGTCAAGGAACAATAAAGAAAAGGCAAAGAGGCGCATTTAAGAAAAGAAAAGTAGGATGGAAGGAAAATGGTAGAGTAAGGTAACCCCCTGGATTCCTGCTCCCAGAGAAGGAGACATAGATCTTGGTCTCCCACACACGAGTGGATCTCCCCACTACAAGGACAGCATCAAGAATCCACAGAGGTGCAGCACAGGACTCTCTCAAAAAAGGAAAAACAAGGTGATCGGGAGATAAGATCACGTTCTCTGGAGAGTGCAAAACAAACAATAGGGTGTGTGGGAGGGCGCCGGCCCACCAGGCCAGGGGGTGAAGTGGGATCAGACCACAAGAGAACTCCTTGCTTCCCCATTGACCTCCACACCCACCCAGCCAGGAACCTGTCAGAAATTGGTGTGAAATCACAGCAGGAGAAGAGGGTGCTGGAGAGTGCCGTCATTGGTGGAAAGCACCGTGAACTCCCCTGAGCCCAGCGCTAGAACGCCTCCAATATGGGAGGAAACTGAACTGAGCTGATAGGGGAGGGAGTTAGACGTCTTGCCTCTGGTAACCAGCGGGGCCAGCCCTACAGAGTTGTTCACTAAGTTGGGGACTCTAAGCTGTAACTGCCTCAGGTGAATATGACTGCACAGGGTGGATCAATAAGAGCAAGGGCTATGGTTGAACAGGCAGTGGGACAGGCGGCATAGAGGAGGCTACGGGTCACCATTTAGGAGGTCCACAGCCCAGCAGCCATACGGTGCAGTGGGCAAGCCCCACTCCCCTGCCCAGCCTAGAGACTCTCCTGGCAAATTCCGCCCCTACACAATCTGCAATCGGCTGGCCAGGCCTGGCTCGATCAACAAACTGCTGAGAGAAATATCGCCAACGGGAGCCACAGCCAATGGGGTGCTGGAGTGGAGGGCAGACTGGGGAGATACTTCCTCCTCCTAGCCTGCATCTCTCCTGCAGAAAGTGGTAGGTTCCACCCCTGGAGGCTGGGTGAGACAAGAAAACCCACTCTCCCCAAGATCTAGGGAGAACTCACTAGGCCTGTGTAGTGTATAAGCACGCAGTATAAAAGACTTTGCTTCCCAGAGTAGCTTAGGTCACCCAGTTGAACCAAAAACTGGGACTGTATCTCCTTCCCGGTCAGGGGTAGGCTCCACAAGCAACCCTTCCCAGCAGGGGAACCTTCCAAGTGTGGTGGAAGGTTCCTCCCAGTGGCTGATCAAGAAACTACAGAAGAGAGGATGCCTGAGCACGATCAATGGATCCAGATGGGGAGAGCCCAGCATAAAATATCTGAATATTCAAAAAATCAAACCAAAAACACTCCCTATAGGAGATACACCAGCTCTCAAGAAATGGAGACGGAACAAACCCAAAACACTAAAATGACAGAAGAAGAATTCCAAAATTGGATTGTAAGAAAGCTCAATGATATGCAAGAAAAAATGGATAACCAACACAAGGAAACTACAAAGAATATACAGGAATTGGAACAAAGATTCACTAAGGAAATTGAGATCTTGAAGAAGAATCAATCCGATATCCTGGAAATGAAGAATTTATCCAGGGAAATACAAAACACAGTGGAAAGCCTGAAAAATAGGGTGAACCAAACATAAGAAAGAATTCTCAGAGATTGAAGACAACACCTTCAAATCAAATAAGTTAATCACAGAGTTAGAGCAGAAAAAAAAGGAGACATGAGCAAAGCTTACAAGAATTGTGGGATTATACGAAGAAAAATAACCTGAAGGTCGACTGGATTCTGGAGAAAGAGGAAGAAAAAACCCAAGGGCTGGATAAGCTATTTGAAGAAATAATTGAGGAAATGTTTCCAGGTCTAACCAGTAACTTAGAATTAGAAATAAAAGAGGCCAAAAGTAATCTTGGGAGATACAATGCAAATAGGAAAACACCACAGCATGTAGTCATCAAACTGACCAAAAATATCAACAAAAGAGACTCTCCTACAAGCTGTAAGGAGAAAGAAGCAAGTTACATACAAAGCAAAACCGATGCGAATAACCCCAGATTACTCAACTGAAACAAAACAAGCAAGGAGAGACGGGGGCCACATTCTCACTCTTTAGAAACAAAATAACACCCAGCCGAGAATCTTGTACCCTAACAAAGTAAGCTTTATATAGGAAGGATAAATTAAGACATTCTCAGATAAGCAAAGTCTCAGGGAATTCACCAAGGCAAGACCAGCCATACAAGAAATATTCAAAACAGTGTTACGCACGGAACACCATATTAAAACTCACGAATATAAAAACAACCAAAACCTAAAGATTAAAGGCCAGTTATTACAATGGCTCAAGAGAGAAATCAAAGCAACAACATCCAAGCCAACAGAATGAACAGTAATCTGCCACACCTATCAGTTCTCTCAATAAATGTGAATGCCTTAAACTCCCCAATCAACAGACATAGGCTGGCTGAATGGGTAAGAAAATACAGGCAAAGTATCTTCTGTCTTCAGGAAACACATCTAACCTCCAAGGATGCATATAGACTAAAAGTAAAGGGTTGGAGATCAGTATTCCAAGCAAGCAGAAGCAAAAAGAAGGCTGGCGTTGCAGTTCTAATCTCAGATGATTTACTTTTTAAACCAACAAAAGTAGTGAAATACAAAGAGGGTCATTATATAATGGTGAAGGGCACAGTTCATCAAGAAGAGATAACAATCTTAAATATATATGCACCCAACTTAGGTGCATCCAGATTCATAAAGCAAACCTTACTGGATCTAAGCAAATTGATTAACAGCAAATCCATAATGGACAAATTTCTAGAAGCACACAGCCTCCATAGGCTCAACCAGGAAGAAATAGAATTTCTGAACAGACCAATATCAAGAGATAAAATAAAAACAGCAATTAAAAATCTCCCCAAAAAGAAAAATCCAAGCCCAGATGTTTTCACACCTGAATTTTACCACACTTAAAAAGAAGAACTGGTGCCTATCTTGCAGAAATTATTCCACGACATCGAGAAGAATGGAAACCTCCCCAACACCTTTTATGAAGCAAATATAACTCTAATACCAAAACCAGGAAAGGATGCAACAACAACAAAAAAAGAAAACTACTATGAAACACTGAGGAAGTAAATAGCAGAGGATGTAAACAGATGGAAATCCATACCATGCTCATGGGTTGGCAGACTCAACATCATTAAAATGTCTATACTACTCAAACTGATCTACAGATTCAATGCAATACCTATTAAAATCCTATCATCATTCTTCACAGATACAGAAAAAAATAATTTTACGCTTCGTTTGGAACCAGAGAAGACCCAACATATCAAAAGCAATTCTACGCAATAAAAACAAAATGGGAGGTATTAACATGCCAGATATCAAACTATACTACAAAGCTGTAGTAATTAAATCAACCTGGTATTGGCACAAAAATAGGTATGTTGACCAGTGGAACAGATCTGAGATTCCTCATCCACATATAGGCATGTAATCTTTGACAAAGCAGACAAAAACATACACTGGGGAAAAGAATCGCTTTTCAATAAATGATGCTGGGAAAACTGGACAGTCACTTGTAGAAAGTTAAAGCAGGATCTACACCTTTCACCTCTCACAAAAATAAACTCACGCTGGAAAACAGACTTAAACCTAAGGTATGAAACTCTCAGAATTCTAGAGGAAAATGTTGGAAACACTCTCCTAGACATC